CTTCTTGCTCCTAGTAATAAGGCCAGGAGTCCCTAGTAGCGTTTTTGTTACTACTAGTAAGGCACTTGTCACTAGAAGCGATGCACTTGTTACTAGTAGCTTCTTGCTCCTAGTAATAAGGCCAGGAGCCCCTAGTAGAGTTCTTGCTCCTAGTAATTAGCAATGCCGTTACTGGTCGCGGGTCGACCCTTTTCGCCGAAAGAGCCTTTTGGAGGCGAAAAGTAGATGGAAGATGGACATGCAAAGACCCTTCAATGGTGAGACATTCATGGGCATTCACGCCTTGCAAGGAACACATTGCACCTAGTTGCTCAAGGACAGTGCTATGTTGTTTAGATAAATGTTTACCTGTCATATTGCCTATCCATGAGTCACCATGTGAGGTGACACTTGATACATCTCCAAAAGACACCCCATCACCGACCCCAACATTGACCCTCCACCCACCACCCGCTTAGTCAATCTATTCTTTGAGTTCATTTGGCAGTGCGGTTTAATGTCTCGAACCACAGTATGATCACGGCAGGTGTCTCTAGGTGATTCCCCCAACCAAACTAGAGATGAGCGCAGCTGCGCTGCCGCTTCAGGTCATGTCTTTTGGCCGGGACTCTTGATCACACGTGGGCTGCCGCGTCTTTACCAGGTTTGTTGGCCGAACTCTCCAATTCGCCCACCGAGTTTGAGGTGAACCAAGTGGTATAGCTGTTAACCTGTGACCTGCCTGCCCCAAACGACCAAACATGTGCACCTTCCAGATTCCAGCTCCACGGAATATCATCAAAACCTGGAGACCTAGCATCCAGACCAGCATCCAACCAACCTGGCGGGGGCTGTGAAACCCCTCTCTCGCTTGCTCGCTCGCTCTCTGTCTTGGTATTTTTCAGAGATTTCAATTGGAACGCGAAAAGGTCCTATATAGTAGCTTCCTTTGCTAATAACTACAATTAAGTTCTTATTGTTACTACTAGTAAGGCACTTGTTACCACTAGCGATGCACCTGTTCAGGTGATTGTCATTTACATTGCCCGAAGCCACCCGTGGTTTGTCTCCTCCAAAACGACGATGCGTGAAGTTCGTCCTGGGGGTGCTGAGAACTGTGAGCCAAGTTGTTCAAATACGGACCTACAGCAGAGCCAAGGTCCACCCTGCTGACGCCCTTTTCTCACCTTGCGTTTCAAAACAGACCCAGGTGGTGCCATTCTGCTGCGGGCTCCGGAATCCTTAGCCTTCACAGCAGGCATCGCCGCAGTGTGCGGGCCCCAGCGGGATGGAGGGACCACGAGACTCCATCGCGGAGGGACCCGTTGTAAGGCACTTGTTTCTAATAGCTTCTTGTTACTACTAGTAAGGCACTTGTTACTACTAGCGATGCACTTGTTACTAGTAGCTTGTTACAAAAGGTAGCCTCCTGAAGATAGCATGGCATTTGAGGAATTCGAAGGCTTCCACACCCTTGGAAGCCGTGACGAGTGTCCAGCTTTGTCGATCATAGTACTATTTAAACAATCGTTCTCAGCAATTGACCGACAGAATCAAAGCTTGCTGGAATCCTCGAGATCGGAAGCATAATGCGCCATGGACTTTTAGGTATCCTGAGGCCTGGAAAGCCCCTTCCCGCTGGCCCTGTGATTTGTTCCCACAGTTCAAATGTTTGAAAGAGATTCACTGGATTTCACTGGAGTCTTGACATGGGTTGCAACTTCGGGCACAAACGGCAGTAAAAGAATGTGGAATGTGTTAGACCGACTTACTACAGAGTATCCAGTGAATTGGAGCAATGCCTTTCTTGTCAGGTCCCTTGGCTTCCGACTGTCGATGAGGAGACGGAAGATCTCAGGGGAAGCGACTAGTAAGTCCAAAGGCAGGAGAGAGATGGCACAGCTGTGACCCTTGACGAACTTGGTTGGTGGAGGGGTTGCCCTCAGGCAAATGAACCAGCTTTGTTTCCCGAGCTTGCACAGCATCGAAAGTTAAACATAGAGATTAGAGGAAGAGAGAGAGAGAGAGAGACGAAGAAGCTCAGATTGCCATCCTACCGGATATGCCTCAGAGATTGCAAGGTGTTCTGACAAACCATACGACACGGATGTTTGCTTTGGAGTCCTCTGAGAAACCATTCACGAATCATCCGATGTCTTTGCGTCTTCTCGGACATCCCGAGAGCGTGGACACCTTCGATGGATCCGGGAGGCGTCCCGGTGTCCGGACCAACCGCAGGAATCGTTGCATTATCACCTCAGTGGCGCGCACCAGCTCGTTGTGACTCGGTATCGGTCGGCGTCCACCGGGTTCCCGGGCCGGGAAGGACTGAAGCCGGGCGCATCAGCTTGAAAGCATGGCATTCGCATGAAAAATCAACGGGCGAAACCGTTGGTTGTTTTGGGGGAGGAATTTCAGACTTTGATGGACAGATTCTGATCCAGCCCTGGGAGCCACCGAGTTGGAGGCCATCGCTTTTAGGCTGCCCCCCCATCTCTCTCTTTGTCCCTTCCGCAGCTCCGAGAGGAGCTGCGTCCGTCAGCGACGAAAGCCCGCCGAGGCCTCGGATCTCCGGGCGCAGCGTGACGAACTTCTTCCTGGCGCTGCTCGTGGTCTCGGTGCGGAGCTGTGGAAACACCACCCGTGTTCAGTGGATATCATAGACGGTCAAGTGAGTCAGGTGCTGTTGGTGGTGAAGGAGTGAAGTTCAGGTGGATGCGATTGGAGTGAAGTTGATAAAGGCAAAGGCGAGATCAGCTGGATGAAAGTTGGACGTAAGCGACCATCATGGGAGACCCGCTGCGAAAGGTGCAAGCTCTTTTTGAGCGGATTCGCTGATCTTCTCACTGCATCCAGGAACCAAGTCGTATTCCAATTTCGACGGTGTTCCTTTCAAAAAGAATCAACACGGCCTGAGAGAAGCAGCTGAACATGGCCTTGGATGTTACTTGTCCAAAAGAAACGCATTTAGAAGTCCCATGCGAAGGCAAAGAAGGTCGAAAAAGAAAAGATGTTCCATGATAGGAGGTCAATGTTCGATTCCTTCCAAGTCAAGCCTTCTCATCCCACACGTGGTCCGAGGTGCTTCGGCTTCTCTTACAGCTGGCTTTTGGGCGCGGCTGGCCCTGGGTACGCCGCCCATGTTTCACCATCGGTTTGTGTCATCCAGGGTGTCCATTTGCAAGGGTAAGCATGTTGCTTTTCGAGAGGTCCTATTCTGAGGCACTTTTTCGAGAAATTCCCGGGGATACATGTTGCCAACGTTTATTTTAACAGAGTCCATAAGTGACGGTTGGATCCAGGGATCCTGCTGGGGAGGGAGGTTGGTTAATAGGGGCGGAGCAGAACCAGACTACTGAGTTAGTGGCCACTAAATGGGACACGTCAGGAACCAACAACGCATACTTTGGCAGGAAAACGTCTTGTGCGAGCGGACCATCATCCACCTATACTAGTATGTTCCTGTGGCGGAAAGAGAGAGAGAGAGAGAGAGACGGTTCCGTCTCATCTTGAACGCACGCGAGCGTTTCGGTGGCTGAACTCATATATACTTTGTTCTTTGTGAAGCAAAGCATGAACTCGTCCGTTCCCTTTTCGGCTGTAGCTTAGCGCAACGTCCACTACGTCTCGCCTTCTCGAGGCTGGGGACTTTCGGACTGCGGTGGATTCGTCTCATGGCAGGATCAACTCATCAAGCTGATTTCTCACAAGCAATGAGGCTGAGGACAGGCTGCGGAGTGATTGTACGGTCAGATGGATATAGAATACAGCATGCAAAATACGTATATATAAATACGTTAATGTCTTGAAAAATCGTTTCAAAAAAGAAACACCAGACCAATTATTCTAGCTCCTTGTCTGGACACTTGAGAAATCCCCAAAGCTGTGGCCCTTCCGCGTCTTGTTTTCCAGGGTGTTAGTTAGCGGTGAAACCTCCTGCACTACAATTCCACTGTTGAGCAGAATTCCAAGCTGGTGTGACAGATCATACTGCTGTTGGGCCATTGTTGTTTTACCTGACATCACTGATCCCGTGCCTAGTCTTAGACGCGCCGTTTTCGAGAGCAGCTATATCTTGGCCAAGAATCTAAAGGATAATCTAGAACTTAGATGAATTTAGAATATGTCTCAAAGATTTGTTGGCTGCTTTGTCTCCGGACAAAAAGAATTATCCAACACATACATCCCAATACTTCAGGCACCTATCCGTAAGTCTCGCAGTCTTGCATTCCGTCGAAAGTGAGAGGGAGAGTTTGCTGTCGCCAGGAGTAGACACGGAGTTCTCTCCAATATGGGAGACGTGGACAGCGACCTGCGCAAGGTCATTGAACGTTTCACAAAAAGCTGTGCGTTCCATCGACCTCGTTCCATCGTCCGTTTCCGACCCCGGTGCCACGCCCTTTGCCCGGTGTCCATGTTAGGTTTGATGGTTAAGGAGGCGACCGGTTCTGGCGATGAACGAAATCAGGATGCTCCTTCCCAAAGCGAGCTTTTAGACAAGTCTGCCACTTCCACGATGCGACCCAGGGCGATCAAAACTCTCAACCTGGATGGTGACCTGTCCACAGACATTTGAAGAACTGGTTCAGCTCCAGACTTCCACTAACACACACGCGCTGTCAAATCTGTGTTTATCAGCCGTAGAGATGAAGCACTGATATCAGGTCTGCTGTGAAGCTTTGGTGTTTGGGTCTGTGTTGACCCAGGGTGACCTCGTGACCTCTTCGATGCGACACTTTGCCGACACTGTGCCGTTTCGAGCTGAAACTGAGTTCGGTGCATGGCACAGCTGTGGATCGAGTTGACAGTTTGCTTGATCACAAGGGCAAACTTGGCACCACACCACAGTCTGGTAGATGATTTATGCACAGTAATTAGGTAGAAGGTTGCCAGAAATAGTTACAAGAAGTCTCATGACTGTCTAGCTCAGGAGAGGTTGTTGAGTGAAGCCCTCCAGGAAAATGCCGTGGAACGACGTGGTGCGACCCTTTTTCTCCGACCCGCCCAAGCGCCGAGCAGCCATGGCCTTGGCGCTTCCCAGCGTTCCAAGCGTGAAGGTCGCTCATGCTGAAGGCCTGGGACGACGAATCAATTCCGATTCGGAAACTACGATTTGAACAAGCACATCAAACACACAGGTTCACAGAAGCGAAGCGTAAAAGTAAGTTCAACACGAACTCCGAACACGGCAAACGCCTCATCATGCGGATTTGGTGTGGGGGATGATACCCGATCATCGAGACACCCGATCATCGAAAAGGTTTCCCCGTGTCGCTTTCAGCTGCAAGGGTGCAGTGTGGCCATTTCATTAGTTTTTCTTTGGCTCCTTCTTGGGGTAACCGCTATGGTCGCAGAGTCAGACCGTAGTTTCCGAGTCATGGTTTCCAAATCCGTCCTTGACCTGGGACGACCGGGTAAGAACGACTAAGAGGGAAGGGAGAATTTTTAATCCCAATCTAATTGTAATGGCCTCCAACCTAGAAGCAGCCAGTAAGAACAAGTCTCAAAGAGGAACCCTTTTGAGTTTCGCTTACAGGGGCGCTCCCCCTACTAGTAGCGATGCCCTTGTTACCAGTAGCTTCTAGCTACTAGTTGGGTCAGAAACAAGTTCACAACAATTTAGCACCTTCATATATTGTCCAAGATGCACGCCTAGAACATGCGAGCGGAAATCCTTGCAAGCGACTCACAACGTCAAAACCTTGTGGAAAACGTAGGGCTCTCCAGAGACCGCCAAATGCCACCTCACCCCTGCCACACTGGAAACCGTTTTTTGATTTTTGCAATGAAGTGCGCGCAGAAGTTAAGTTTGGCAAGCTGTGAAGGAGTGGGTTTTAGAGGGTTTTAGTAGAACATCATACGGGCAATTTATCACCGCTTGTTTGCGGGTAATGTAGTCCTCAGATTAATAAAGACCCCTAGAATTATGTCTTTTTTTTCCCCTGCACTGATTAATAAAGGCCCCTAGAATAATGTCTTTTTTTTTTTGGAGGGGTAGTTGTAGTGGATTTTTTTTTATTGTTATAGTTTACTTTTTCCCTTTTGAATTTGCTGGGATTTGCTTATCTTACAGCCTTTTGGATTGAGATGTCTATCAAACATTTGGAGATTTCCATTGAGATTTGATTCTTTTGGAGGCTTTTGGATGGAGATTTCTATTGAAAATTTGGAGATT